TTGGCCTGTAATTAGTATTTTGAGGCCATAACAGACGTCGGTCAGCCAGGACAAGTTGACACCAGGTCCAGCTACTAACGTCTTTGGAATTGTGGTTGTATACACGGCTTAATGATAACTGTGTTTCTCCGAGCATTGTCAGCAGGAAATAGACATAGCTGTGGATGGGAAGGATCAAGCTAGTTTTGAAGATGTTCTGTGTACAGGTAGATTCAACTTTATTCTTTATTTAGAGAGACTATTAACCTGTCATTGCTTTAAAGTCACCAATAAGACAAACAGGTACAATAAATGTAGCCTGAATATTTACATAGTCTGAAATAATGTATTATAAAAGGATGCTGCTGTTTCTTTGATGTGGTAACAACATAGTGTCATATTTGTCATGCAGGCTGTTATTCACGAGGTCCAGAGGATGACTAATATTGTTCCCCTCAGCATTTTTCACCGCACTACTAAAGACACTGAGTTAATGGCGTACTCGATAGCCAAGCTAAATATGAAAGAAACAGAAATCATTTTCTTGAATAAAACATTTGACATAATGTTACTGCTGTGCTAAACAGCTGAGAGAAAAGTGAGGGCAGCAGTTATCGTTTTTACAATAACGTGTATTTACAGCATTGGAAAATGTATGAAAGCATATGTGAGGTGATGAGGGTCATCTTGGTATTCTTTAGGGAACCATCGTCATCCCCAACCTGTCATCGGTGCTTTTTGAGGAGGGGCAGTGGAAACTGACCCTGAAAACTTCCTCAGTGTCAGTGGAGAGTTTGTTAGACCAGGAGCCTTCGTACTTTCTGTGCTGGTGCACAAAAGGTGTCAAATGGTCTCTCTGGTTCTCACTAACCACCAGAAAATTACAGGCTACCCTTCATTGTCCTTCAGTTTCACAAAATGCTACGTGTGGGTTGTTGCAAGGTTATTGGTGTGAAGTTGAAATAAACAATAGCTAATAGTCTTTGAGCATTAACAAATGTATCCTTTACATCCTCAACATGAAAGAAGGACATGATCACTAAGATGTCTTCTATTAGTTTGTAGACTCTGCACTTTTTGTTTTTTGGAGGTTTTGGAGATAAAAGTTACCAAATATAGTCAAGACCTTTGACCTGTGACTGATCAGTTAATGAGTCTGTTCTTTATTCTACAAACTCAGAT